GTAGGAGATTCACCTAACACCAACATTGCTCAGCAAAGAAAATCACAATGTTGAATTCCACACTAGTCTGACTCACAGGCACTTAGTCGACTGTCTTAAATATGCTGGTTTCTTCAATTCCCTCACTCTCCAGCAGTGCTTTCTGTATATTATGCCAGAGAATGCAGATATCGTCTACCTAATTATATTACTTCAAACATTATTATACTGTATAATTCTCATTTGAAATAGACATGCCATTTTTATCTATTAAGTAATCAAATATGAGATATCGACAATAACAATGCTTCAAGTAATAAAAATGTAGAAGTAGAATTAAAAATAAATCCATTAATTCATTAGATATATATATGTGTGTGTGTGTGTGTGTGTGTGATAGCAATTATTAGGAGGATTTGAGATAATCATAATTAATTCATCAAGTCTAGAAGAAACCTCAACAGAATGCAGAAAGCAATGGAAGGCTGTTTCATCCTATATTTGGGACTCATCAGCAGTGTGCATCCACTACCGAGAATTGAAGCCGGGCCGTTATGATACAATGCAATGATACAATATAAAGGCCTGTTGGTATAGTTGGTATGACACTTGCAGATTATCTCAAATCCTAATAATTTCTATCACTTGTATATCCTTCCTTGAGCTGGCTACTAATTCTCTGGATGGAGCAGCTTGGGGATAGTAGTCATGGCTCATGGGGGGCACAGTCCTATGAGGAAGGGAACCTCGGATGAGTTACACCAAAGAGCAGCGCTATATCGAGTCTAATTTGTTACCTCTTCATTATTGAGGCCTGTTGGTACAGTTGGTATGACACTTGTGTCGTATTGTAATGGTCTGGGTTCAATTTTTGGTAGTGGATGCGCACTGCTGAGGAGTCCCAAATATAAGACAAAACGGCCATTCTGCATTCTTCTATACTCAATGAATTACTTTTTTATATATATATATATATATATATATATATATATATACGATAGATAAATTGCCATCCGAATTAAATGAAAATGACACTAACATCTCATATTAAAAGATTTATTTACTGAAATTACACAAAAATATTTTGGAATACAAAAGAGTAAATTTATTCAATAAAAATCACCATTGGCTTCAACCATGGCTACCAGATAACTTTGGAATCTCCTGCATCTGGATGGTCTCCTTGTTTAAGTTGGTGAATGCTGCCATAATACTTGCCTTCAGCTCATTTTTGGGTTTACATGGGAGTTTGTCACTCAACTGCACCCTACACATGATAACTAAGGGGGTTGCAAGTCTGAAGAGTTAGGTGGCCAGATGTCAGAGGGTGATGTGGTTGCAGAAATTCTCTGATTGACATAACTGGATTCTGCTGCTTGTGTGACATGTGCAGAGTCCTGTTACCAGATAGAGGGTCTTCCAGCAGCCACCCTCTTGACCTAGGCTAGCATTACCTTCTCAAGGCATTTGATGTAGGCCTCCATGTTGAGTCTGAAGCCCTGTGGGAAGATGAATGAAGGCATAATGTCACCAACATTCATGATCACTGCAAACACCTTCGTAATCACCATTAGACTCATCCAACTCTTTCTAAATCCTCTGCATTGTCCTCAGATAGACTTCCAAACACACTGAAATGTTCATATTGGAGATTCCAGAGTGAATGCCAAGTAATACAGCATGCTATTTCTAAATTTTTGGCAGAGTGAATTGCATCATGGTGCTTTTTTCCTTTTTATTTTACACACACAAAGAAATATACATTTATTCCTTAGTGTTTGGCAATGTATGGTAAAAATTGAAATTCAATGTGTTTGACGATTATCACATGCATGAAACTAAATTTTACCGAATGGTGAGGGAAAAATGTATATTTATTAGTAGCATACATTGTAGCTCTGTTATTTTATACTGAGCATTGTTTTCTTACCAATAGGTTGGAGATATATATAAATAAATGAAAGGCACAAGTCAGAGGAGGGTGGAAAATATTTGTCTTAAAGGAAAGAAGTTTTATAAAATTAAACCCAAATATTAACCTTATGACATTAATTTGGGGTTATATGAAGAATGAAATATTAATTTAAAATTAAAAGAGAAATAAAAAGGGGTTTAAAAATAACTTTAAAATATATAGATAAAAGGATGTCTTGTGCCTTTCGTCTGACTGAAACATTGGAATGGATAAATTCTGTATTAGTTTTCAACTAGCTCTGGTTCTTTTTTTTTCTTTTTTTAGCTTTCACTGTTAAATTTCTATTTTTGACACAAACTCAGTCCACGCTGGGGCTGATAAGACAGACAACTGATGCCTTTGTCTGCTGAAATAGGCTATTCCCCATATGAGGTGATTTGGGATTTTATTGTTTATTATTTATTTGCTCTGCAATAATAAATACATTGTGCTCTTTTTGTGGATTAGTTTTAATATTTTATATTACTAGGACACACTTGAATTATAAATTATATACCAACAGATTTGTTACTTTTTTATATATATATATATATATATATATATATATATATATGTGTGTGTGCTTACAGTGTAATATGTCAGTGCAGAAAGTGGAATCAGTGAGTAGAGTTCAAATTACAGCCTAGTTTGACACTTTCACTTTTTGCACAAATGTCTAGGGAAAGGAAGGAATCATTCTTTTCTCTTCCCAGTAAGATAAGGCTGGTCTCCCTATCCTTGGGTGGCAACCAGTTTAAGAGAAATATACTGAATTCCAAATCATGCAGAAGTCAACTGGAAATCAGCAAGACAATTCACAAATAAGAAGAAATGAATCCGAGGAGAGACATGAAGGGACATGGCAAAATGAAAAAAAAAATTTTAAAATGTAAGTGCGTGTGGGTGGGTGGGGGTTGGCCTCAAGGTAGTAGGTGGGTTGTATTTGGAGAGGAATTTTTTTCCTGTAAGATGGCCAGTGAAGTCTGAAAACGTATGCCCTCCCTTATGTAGACATAATATGTGACATTATGCATTAAAATTAATTCATTGCAGACATTAAATTTTCATTTACTTTTAATCAGTTGATAAAATTCATTATTGAACCAAGAATGCAACACAAACTATGATAAATATGTATATAGAAGAAGAAAGTTTTTTTTTAATTTACAATATACAAAATATTTAAGCAAATCTCTTAGAAGCCATTTGCTTCCAGAAGTTTTAAGAATGACGTCCATTTCCTTTGTTTGCTGTAAGATTTATACTTTATGTGAAATTTATAACTTACAAGCATCATAATGCATATTCATAAGGGTATTGCAGTTCTTTAGTAGAGTGAGCTCACCAAGAGGATACAACAGCCTTCTTCTATGTGCTCTGTCCCTTCAGGACTTAAGCACTCATGGCTCTCCACAACTTCCTATTTTTTGCAGCTCTGTTTTATCTCTTACTATTCCACTAAGTCCCTGTTCTACCATCCATTTATACAAGATTGTTATGTAGATTTCCCTGTTCTTTTTGCCTTCAATGTCCTGTGAGTGTCAAACTCTCCAAGTGATCTTTTCTTAGTGTGTATCACTATCTTTCTGATACTATTAAAATTTGTTATTCACATGTTCCATCAATTTAATCCTCAGCATCCTTCTGTAACACCAGATCTCCATTGCCTCAAGTTTCATCATTCACTACTACAAAGCACCTTTTTCTTTGTTTCAAAAGAAAATTTTGTTTCTTAACACTGTGTTTAGCTTTGAAATCTTAAACATTCCTAATTCATGTTTTTATTGACAAGAGGACATGAGGTAACATTTTTAGCAAGTGTAGGGTTTACTGTCATTCCTCAATAGACAACATTAGGAAAGATTTAAATTGAAACTGACTCTAACACAAGTGGTAATATTTTCACACTATATATATATATATATATATATATATATAGGATTGGTGTATACGAAATAAATTCCAATAACCAACAAATACTATTTTTAAAAGAGTGCTCAATACACAGTAGAGCAAATTATTTATTCGAAAATTATAACATAAATATGTTATAAAATCACTACAAAAATAGTCATTTTGTTACAACACTTCTGGTGTCTTATCAAGTGATGGTGTACATTCAAAACCATCACTTGATAAGACACCAGGAATGTTGAAACTCTTTATCAAGTGATGGTTTTGAATGTACACCATCACTTGACGACATGTTTTGCCCTTCAAAAAGACTTATTCAGACTTAATATCTTTATCAATAAAATCATTATATATATTTTAATGGGAGGGAACAAAATACAAACAAACATCAGTTATAATTTTACAAGAGAAATGCTGAAAATACAGGGATGCTTAACTTTAAATTTATGACATTCAGTGTGTTTATATGTACACTCTGACCTCACTGATCTTCCAACTATTGTTTTTTTTATATATATATATATATATATATATATATATATATATATATATATAAAATAGTAGTTTTGTTAAGAAAGGTGACATGCTGCATGAACCAGGAAGAGTTTATCATAGAAGACTCAAATTAGTGCATTTTTCTATATATTTTTGTCTTAATAAATTACTTTCTCTTAATTAAAACTACATTCTTTAAGCTAAATTATGGTCAGACTGACAGGTGAAAATGTATAGAAAGTGCACTAATTTCTGAGTCTTCCAAGGTAAATTTAAATTAATACAACATTTCACCTTTCTTAATAAAACTACTGTTATTACAATGTAAGATATTTAAAAACAGCAATAAAAACTGAAGTGGTAGGAAGTTGAACAAGGCCAGATATATTGCATATCTAGACACATTGGACACCAGAAATGTAAAATTAAAATGTAAAAAGTATCTCTGAATTTTCAGCATTTCACTATGTCTAATTAGAAGCGACATTAGTATTTCATTCACTCCCACAGCATATAGAAGATTCCATCAATAAAAACATTAGTCTGAAGAAGTCCTTTTTTAGATTATACACACATACACAACTAAATATTGGTTGAAAAGAAAGCATTTTTTTTTCCATTTTTACCAAAATCAGATTAAAATAGAAATTTCTCTTACTTCAGATCTGCTGCCAGTTTCCTGAGTTCGACATTTTGTTTCCGAAGTTGGTCCAATTCGTCCATAGCATGTCGCAAGTGGATCTCTGTGCGGTGGGACGTGTCTGTGTTCTGGAATATTGTGCTGCTCATATACATCATAATAACAAGCCAGAACCCCAGCAGGGCAGCTACCACCTTCCATGTCCGCATACTACTCACACATCACCCTGAAAGACAAATTTGCTTTTTCTTAATACTCTTAAAATTAAACATTTTCTTAAAGTACACAAAGATTGCAGGCTTAACATCTTTTAACCCCTGCACCAGACAATACCCCCATACTTTCAAATAAACATAAAAGACTTTTAATCACCTCTCTGAGTAAAGACAAAATTACAGGCTATTTTAAATTCTGGCAAAGAGCAGAAAAACTGAAAAATTGTAAGTCTTGACACAATAATGATGTCACAATGGTAAAATTGTAATCATAATATTAGCCAAATCCTTATTAGGAAACATTCAGCATTTATCAACTGAGCAGCCAGTGCTACTTTTGGATGAAATTTATAAAATCTTTCTCTTGAAACAATTTTTCATAAAAATAGGTTTTTCAGATCCAGTAGCTATTATCACGCTTTCCAGTATTGAGGGAAGGTTCCCTTCTGAACCTTTTATTGGAAGTAGTGTGTAATATCACCATGTTGATTATGCTATTTTTTTTTTCCGAGTTACGGGTGATATCCATTTTAGATGTTGCTGCCATTGAAAGCTCTCAAGTGATATGGCTTCTCTCATTTGGTATAGTTCTTTGAGATTCTGTAGTTCCAGTTCAAAAGGTCCAAAATGTAGTCTTTACAAAGACCCATAGGCTTCACTGGTTCAAAACCATTAAACAGTTTAAAAAGAAGCATTTTTTTTGTTTTGTTTTCTTTAGCTGGTGTGTGATGAGGTGAGCACTCCAATATTGGAGAGAAGGAAGAATTTTTTTTTTTGTTTTTAAGAAATTAGTTGCTTTTAAAAAAGACTTCTAATTAAAACAATTAAACTGTATCATATCAGTATCAGCCTCCACAAAGCTAACCAGATATCCCAATAGTGTTCTCTACTGTCCCCAGTATGATGAACTAGAGTCCTGGTTAAATGTGATTTTTTTTTTCTATTATAGACAACCATGTACTATTTTTTTTTTTTTGTAATTAATAAAATCAACAATTATTTAGTGCATCAAACAGAAAATTTAAATTTAATTTTCCATAATTTGATTGTTATCCTGTCATCTCTCATTAGAGAGCAGCAAAATAAGCCAGGCTTTGAAACAAGAGGCGAGTCACTAATCAAGTTGTTTTCAGAAACCCTATTAGAAACACAGCATTGATGTGAGAAAGTGGTTTTATACAGCTGACAGTTTAGATATTTTTGAATTGGTTTGGCACCCTGCATGACATCCATATGAAAGTCTTGATCTGACAAAGCTATTTAAGAACAAGAAAAATGGTCATCACTGACACCTACATGTTTCACTCACTCAAAGCCAATTTAATCATTGATCTGAGAAAGTGGTTGTATACAGCTGATAGTTTAGATATTTCTGAATGGGTTTGGCACCATGCATGATGAAACCATATGAAATGCTGGAATAAATTCATATTGATCTGTGACCTTCATTGTTCCAACAAAGGTCATCAAAGGTACTGCAATTTGGCTGTTGGGAAACATGGTAAATGTATAACAGGTGAGTTGTTACAACATAATTTAATGCCATGACCCTTGGATTTGGAATAAAAAAACTAAATATTTATATAGCATATTATGGATTTATATTAGCCCATATCAAGGTTGACAATAGGTGTAGCAGTTTTTTTTCCTGCTACGTCTTGAAAGGTAAGGAGGTTTTATAACTTCCTTATCCGAGTGAGTTTTAGCCAAGAGTTCATAAACCCATTAAGTCTTTTTAACCTTCATGACATACCAGCAACATGACATTTTGTCAAGACATGTAAAAATGGGACAGAGTACAGGTAGAAGTTAATTCATGCCTTTTTCAGGATATTAATTTAAAACAAATGCAAACAGCCTCAGTTAAAATTCAAATTCATTTCTGACTTCATTTTCTGCTCCAGTAACCCTGACTCTAAACCATAATTTGTGTTGTATTACCTTCATATTAATTTACAGGATATGATTTTACATGTAATGATACTGTTCATTCTTAACTAGCATTTCATCAACCTTAAATACTGATACTTGTAATTTAAAGATGATCACGGTCAATATACAAGTAGTAATGAACAGAAATTAAGATAAAATACTAATTAAAAATTATTAAAGATAGTTAACAGTTCAGACACATCTCCTACTGCTAGTATCAGGGAATATTTGGCAAGATTTGGATGAAAGCTGATAACTGGTCTTTGTAGCCTGACTGATAAAGCAGCTGTTACAGAAAGGCAAACCCCCAAGAAAAAGTTCAAATCTTGCTGGAGGTTTTTTTTCCTTATTCCAGCCCATGTTGATCATCTGGGAGTTGCAACAGAAAGCAACAAAAATTAAGACAAAGGAAATAGCAGTTAAAAATTAAAAGATAATACAACTTTACAGATACAAACTGTTGTCTTCTCAAGGAAAACAAAGTACACCCAATATATGTTTCTGTTTTGCAACCTACAGATTTTGAGCTGAATTCTAAAGACTTCTTCAAAACAATTGTTAAATGATACCAAAGTACTTCCTATTAGCATCATGTTCAACCCAGGTTAAATCAGGGCTCTAAAGTGTTTTGATTTCCCCCTCCCCACCAGAATTGCCCACCCCCACAAAAACTTTAAAAAAATAATAAAAAGATATAAATAAATAAATAATAATAAAAATAAATAGATGATAAAAATAAATAAATACAGTGGAACCTCGGTTCACAAATTTAATTCCTGAAGGCCGTTTATAACAAGAAATGTTCGTAAACCGAAACTATTTTTCTAATAGGAATCAATGTAGAGAAAAAAGTCAGAGTACAATAAAATTGGAAAAAAAAAGCACAACATGACACACGAATGTATACAACATGGCAGTCACCTCAGAAATTATTCTCAATTTGACTATGTTGTTTGAGAACTGAGGCATTTTCATCTCAAATTTTCTGTTCGAGAACCTATTTGTTTGACATGAGACATTTGAGAACCGAGGTTCCTCTGTAAATAAAAACTTTAAAGATTGAGGAAAAAAAATTTTAAACTGTCCTGAAAGCAATTTTTTTTTACCATTTACAGTAGTCAGTGCAAACACCATTACAATGTTTAGAAAATAAAAAGCTAACAAATTAAAGTTTTAAAAATTAATACAAAAACATTCAATTTTACAGTAATTTTCACATTTTTATTGAAACATTTTACATCCCACTACATTTACAAGAAAATGTTCTTAATAATATATTTTCATGTTCAAAAAAATCTTTAACAGACTAAACATTTATTTCCTACCTAAAGAATATTAGTGCATTCCAGTTATTCATAATCACAAAAGGTTTTAAATTATCAAAACATCTTCATTTACAATTATCTGTCTCACGTCACAACTACAGTTTCCATGTTTATTTATTTGTATTTTTAATTTTGTTTTTGATAAGCAGAACATTTAAATGACTTAAGTATTCATTCAAATTTTAACCAAAAATAAAAACACGTTTTCTCGTTTTGTTTAATAAAATAAAATTGGTTCTTACAGTTAGGCCGTAAGGTTTTTCATATTGAGAGAAATACAAATATCTAAATTTAAGTCCTTCAACCCCCTTTTCTTTTATTCAAATTTCATTAAACAGTTTAAAAAGGAGCATTTTTTGTTTTGTTTTCTTTAGCTGGTGTGTGATGAGGTGAGCATTCCAATATTGGAGAGAAGGAAGAATTTTTTTTTTGTCTTTAAGAAATTAGTTGCTTTTAAAAAAGACTTCTAATTAAAACAATTAAACTGTATCATATCAGTATCAGCCTCCAAAAACCTAACCAGATATCCCAAACTAGTGTTCTCTACTGTCCCCAGTATGATGAACTAGAGTCCTGGTTAAATGTGATTTTTTTTTTCTATTATAGACAACCATGTACTATTTTTTTTTTTTTGTAATTAATAAAATCAACAATTATTTAGTGCATCAAACAGAAAATTTAAATTTAATTTTCCATAATTTGATTGTTATCCTGTCATCTCTCATTAGAGAGCAGCAAAATAAGCCAGGCTTTGAGACAAGAGGCGGGTCACTAATCAAGTTAATTGTTTTTAGAAACCCTATTAGGTTTTATATTTGTGATCTTTTTGAGGGATTCACTTTTTTGTTTATATAATTTAAAGGTTCAGTGAAGTAGGTCATTTTTTTTTTTTTTTTTATCTATTCTTTAGTCAAAAACGATAATTTTCTTATAACATAATCTGTAAAGCAGTTAAATGTGAAAAATATCCTCCTCGGGGATTTATCACTGTTTCACTGTTATTTACTTAGTATAACATCCATAAAAAAAAAAAAAAAGAAGATAAATATTCATGCATAGACCAGCACTTCTGCTTAAGATAAGACAATGTTTGTCTCTACAAATATATATCATTGTATTGTTTAAAATTTAAGATATTTAGAGGTGGAGAGAAGTGCTCAAGATTTGGAATAGAGCCTTTGTAGCTATCAACATTGTTAATATAGAAATCAAAACTGTATGATGACTGTCAGTTTCATTGTTTGAACAATCATCAGAGGATATGTTACTCCTCTTTAGTTAAGATCTCTTTCTCTCTCTCTCTCTTTATATATATATATATATATATATATATATATATAAATAAAATTAGAAGAAAGGGTCCACGTGTGCTTCTTGTAGTATGTAAAATAGATAGGTTAGTTAATAAAACAAGGACAAATAAAAGAGTACGAATATAATCAGTACAAAAATCATTTAACAATATCAATTATTAACCATATGACAGAAATGAAGCACGGACAGAAAGGTTTTAAGTCCAGAATTTTCGGAAATGTGTGTCCTTCATCAATGGATCGAGAAATAAACTAAACAGAGAAATGGGAATTACTCACCGCCAGATGTTTTTGTAGATGGTGTATCTGTCTGATTCCTTGCTATGCAAAACTTTTTATGAAAATAAACTTAAATTTAAAATCTTGATCAGAGTAGAAGCATTAGGCCAGTCTATTATTATTATTAGTAGGGGGAGTGTAGGAGTAAGATTGTAAAAAGAT